GTCAGATATACAGTTGGCACATATTTTTTTCCCATTCTGTAGGCTGTCTCCCTGCTCTCTTGATGGTTTCTTTTGCTTTGCAGAAGCTCATTAGTTTGATGAGGTCCCAGTTGTCTATCTTATTTCTTAAGATAGGGGCATTTAGGGTTCTGAATAGGAATTGGTTGCCAGTTCCAATTTCCGTAAGGGTGTCTCCTGCGTTTTCTAAGATTCTTATAGTTTGAGGTTTTACGTTTAGATCTTCGATCCATTTAGAGTTCATTCTTGTTTATGGTGATAGGTAAGGGTTCTGTTTCAGTCTTCTGCATGTGGTTAGCCAGTTTTCCCAATACCATTTACTGAATAGTTTCTCCTCTCCCCAGTGGTTGTTGTTGGAGGCTTTGTCAAAGATGAGTTGGTTGAGAAATTGAGGCTTTGCTTCTGGAATCTCTATCCTGTTCCATCGGTCTATATGCCTGTTCTTGTACCAATACCAGGCTGTTTTGGTGACTGTAGCCTTATAGTAAGGTTTGAAGTCTGGAAGTGTGATACCTCCTGCTTTGTTTCTTTTGCTAAGGATTGTTTTGGCTATTCGTGGTTGTTTTTGCTTTTGTTTTTGTTTTGAGTTGGAGTCTCACTGTCGCCCAGACTGGAGTGCAGTGGCTGCTCCCGGCCACCGCAGCCTCAACCTGCTGGGTTTCGGCGATCCTTCCGCCGCAGCTTTCCAAGTACCTGGAACTACAGGTGCTCGCTACCACACCCAGCTAATTTTTTTGATTTATTGTAGAGATGAGGTCTCGCCTGCCCAGGCGGGTCTCAAACCTGCGGCTCAGGCAATCCACTCACCTCAGCTTCCCAAAGGCGCGGGATTACAGGCTGAGCCACCGAGCCCGGCTTATTCGTGGTTGTTTATGTTTCCATATGAATTTCTGTATTGTCATTTCCAGGTCTGTGAAGAATGATGTTGGTAACTTAATGAGTACTGCGTTGAATCTGTAGATTGCCTTTGGTAGGATGGACATCTTAACAATGTTGATTTTTCCTATCTATGAACATGGAATATTTTTCCATTTGTTTGTGTCTTCTTGAATTTCTTTGAGCAGTGTTTTGTAGTTCTCATTGTAAAATACTTTCACTTCTCTGGTTAGGAAGATGCTGAGGTATTTCATTTTTTTTGGTGGCTATTGTGAATGGGATTGTATTTTTAATTTGGGTCTCTGCCTGCTTTTGCACATTTATTTTGTACTCTGAGACTTTGCCAAAGTCCTTTATCAGTGCAAGCAGGTTTTTGACAGATTCTCTTGGATTTTCAAGATATAGGATTATATCATCAACAAAGAGAGATAACTAGACTTCCTCTTTTCCTATTTGTATACCCCTGATTTCCTTCTCTTGTCTAATTGCCTGAGCTAGGACTTTCAAAACAATGTTGAGCAAGAGGGGTAAGAGTGGGGAGCCTTGTCTTGTTCTAGTTTTCAGGGAAACTGTTTCCAGTTTCTGTCCATTTAGCAATATGTTAACTGTGGGTTTATCGTAAGTGGCACTTACTATTTTGAGGTATGTTCCTTCTATACCTAGGTGCTTGAGGGTTTTTATCAAGAAGGGATGCTAGATTTTATCAAAAGATTTTTCTGCATCTAATGAGACAATCATGTGGTTCTTTTTACATTTGCTGATGTATTTGATTACATTTATGATCTTATGAATGTTGAACCAGCCCTGCCTCCTGGGGATGAAGCCTACTTGTTCATGGTGGATGATTTTTGAGATGTGTTTGTGGATCCGATTTGCTAGAATCTTGTTCGTAAGGGATATTGGTCTGTAGGTCTCCTTTTTTGTTGGGTCTTTACCCAGTTTGGTTATCTGTGTGATGTTAGCTTCGTAAAATGATTTGGGGAGTATTCCATCCTTCTCAATTGCCTGGAATACTTTTAGTAGGATTTGTATCAGCTCCTCCTTGTATGTATTGTAGAATTTTGCTGGAAAGCCATCCAGTTCAGGAATTTTTATTTTGTAGGTAGTTTTCGTATGACAGAGTCAATTTCCTGGGTTGTTATTGATCTATTTAGTGTCTTAATGTCTTCTTGTTTCAACCTGGGGAGTTTGTGTGATGTCAGAAAGTCCTCCATTTCCTTTGCCCACTTTTTAAATGGAATTATTTGTTTTGTTTATAGTTGACTTATTTGAGTTTCTTTTATATTCCGGATATTAGTCCCATCTGGATGAATAGTCTGCAAATATTTTCTCCTGTTCAAAAGGTTGTCTCTTCACTCTGTTGATTGTTTCCTTTGCTGTGCAGACACTTTTAGTGTAATTAAGTCTCATTTGCCTGTGTTTTTGAGGTTTTAGCCATAGAATCTTTGCCTGGACCAAGTCCTGGTGTTTCCCTAAGTTTTCTTTTCGTAGTTTTGTAGTTTTGGATCTTATATTTAAGTCTTTAAACCATCTTGAGTTATTTTTTGCATATGATGAAAGACTGGCCCAGGGTTATTCTTCTGCATGTGGATATTCAATTTTCCCAGCACCATTTATTAAAGAGTGTGTCTTTCCCCAGAGTATGTTGTTGGTGCCTTTGTTGAACATCAATTGACTGTAAGTACATGAATTTATTTCTGGGTTCTCTATTCTGTTCATTGGTCTATGTGCCTATTTTTATACCAATACCTTGCTGTTTTGATTACTATAGCCTTGCTAAATATTTTGAAGTCAGGTAGTGTGATGTCTCCAGTTTTGTTGTTTTTGCTCAGGATTACTCTGGTTATTCTGTCTTTTTTTTTTTTTTGATTCCATACATATTTTAGGATATTTTTTCTCTATTTCTGTGAAAGATGACATTGTTATTTTGATAGAGATTGCATTGAATCTGTATGTTGTTTTGGGCAGTATGGTTATTTAACAATATTAATTTTTGTGATTCTTGAGCATGGGCTGTCTTTTTATTTGTTTGTGTCCTCTTCAGTTACTATCATCAATGTTTTGTAGTTTTCCTTGTAGAGATCTGCACCTTCTTGGTTAAATATATTGTAGATATTTTATGTTTTGGTAGCTAGTATAAGTAAAATTGCCTTCTTGATTTCTTTTTTGACTATTTCATTATTGACGTATAGAAACACCATTGATTTTTGTTTGTTAATTTTGTATGTTACTGAATTTGTTTATCAAATCTAAGGGGGTTTTTTGTGTGGAGTTTTTTGGTTTTCCTTTCTTTTTTCTTTGTGTTGGAGTCTCACTCTGTCGCCCAGACTGGAGTACAGTAGCCGCTCCCAGCCACCGCAGCCTCTACCTGCTGGGCTCTGGCGATCCTTCCGCCTCAGCCTTCCAAGTAGCTGGAACTACAGGCACGCGCTACCACGCCCGGCTAATTTTTTGATTTATTGTAGAGATGAGGTCTCGCCTGCCCAGGCGGGTCTTGAACCCACGGGCTCAGCCAATCCACTCACCTCAGCCTCCCAAAGGCGCGGGATTACAGGCTGAGCCACCGAGCCCGGCTTGCTTTTTCTAAATAAAAAAAAAATGTCATCTGCAAAGAGAAACAGATTGACTTCTTTTCCAATTTGAGTTCCTTTTGTTTCTTTCTCTTGCCTGATTGCTCTGGCTAGGACTTTCAGCATTATGTTGAATAGAAGTGATGAAAGTGGGCATCCTTGTCCTGTTCCAGTACTTAGAGGAAAGTCTTTCAAGTTTCTCTTATTTGGTCTGATGTTAGCTATATGATTATGTAATGATTATGGTTACTTTTAATCTAATTTTTTTCTGTACCTTTTTACCATGGAACAATATGTTTCTACTTCTATTATTTGTTTTCAGCTTTGAGTCACATTTTTTGACCACACTCTACAGTAGATTTAAGGAAATCAGCATGCTTATATGGTCTTCCTCTTCTGCTACACTTCCTGACATTGTTGAATATATTATTATGCCTATATCACCATAGCTTTTAACATTTGCATCTATTGTATAACTATGATTCCTGCAGTTGTTTAAGCCTTGAAGTTTATTTAATGCTCACTACTAGCCTAGGCCTTGTATCACAACTCTGCTGATATTTTTATTGGGAGAAATTTGGGTGACTTATGAGACAGGCACATGGGAACTATTTTTTTTTTTTTAGTTTTGTAAATATCTGTCTTTTGCCTCTATATTTGAATTGCACTTTTGAGAGTATAAATTTATAGCATCCTTACTTTCCTAAAAAAAATTTTTTTAAGACATTGTTCTTCAGTCTTTTTTTTTTTTTTTTGAGTCAGTCTCACTCTGTCACCCAGGCTGGAGTGCAGTGGCATGCTCATAGCCACTGCAGCCTCAACCTACTGGGCTCAGGCAATCCTTCCACCTCAGCCTTCTAAACAGTTGGAACTACAAGGCAAGTGCCACCACGTCCAACTTATTATTTATTTATTTATTGTAGAGAGGTCTTGCCAAGTTTTCCAGTTTGCTCTCCAACCTGTGGGCTCAGGCAATCCTCTTACCTCGGCCTCCCAAATTACTAGGATTATAGGCGTGAGCCAGTCTTTTAACATTGCATACTGTTGTAAAAATTCTCAAGCTAGCCTTCTTTTCTTTTTTGATACCCAACATGATTTTCTTTTTTCCCTTCCTATCTAATATTTTCATGGGATTCTTTATCTTAGAAACCCAACAACTTCAGTAGAACATGTCTCAGTTTTAATTAATTAGTGTCAGTTATTCCTGAAATATAGTGTATTTTCTAGTCTATTGTTTTAAATCTTTTATTTCAGGAAAGTTTTTATTTTAGTGTAACTTTAACTTTTTGGTATGTATTTTCTGTTTTCTTCAGAAACAACGCATTTTGTATCAGTTAAATACCGCTTCCTCACTCCTTTTTTGGTCTTTCATAACTATTTTGTCTGTTTTTCAAATGAACTGTTTTCAAAGTTTTTATAAAAGTACACAGTTGTGAGCTATCCATACTTGTATAAGTCAACTTTATGAAAGAAACTGAACAGATATTGAATCACATTTAAGACAGGGTTACTAACAGCTTTTTTTTTAAATTTCAGATTCTCAAAATTCATTTCTACAAATCATAGTTCCAGAGAAAATCCAAACAAATACACATGACAGTTCAGGCACAGAACAAGTAAGAGATGTTTTTTCACAATCTAAATGTTTATCTGGAACTTTTAGTTTTTATTATATAAGCATGAGATACGCTAACCCCATTTTAGTATAAATATACTATGTCTAATATTTCAACTGATAAAAAATTTAAAGTTTTGATAATGAAAGCAAATATATGTCAGAATATTCTGTTCTGCATATCATTTATCATTTACTCATGGTAACTTATTTCTTAAAAGTTCAAGAAAATAATGTAGAAGAATTAATTGTCTTATCTGAGGGATGTCAGCAAGATCAACACAAAGACAGTAATTTTTCTCAAAGGGCCTAAGAAAAAAAATTTTTTAAATTAAAACCTTCTTTTTCAGTCTCTACCCCTGAATTTACCAGCTCTCATACAAGATCCCTTTATTCTACTACATTTATTAGAAAGGAAAATACTGTATTTTGTTCATTAATTTATCTAGCAAATATTTCCCTGGACTTGCCATGTACATTTCTGTATGCTAAGTGTTTTAAGAGATAAAAAAAGAAATACAATTAAGCAAGCCTTGATTTTAAGTGACCAATCTTTTGATAATGTTTTATTTTTAACAGTTGTATGAAGGTATAATAAACGCACTGCAGAATTCATCCATTTTAAGTGTATAACTCAATGATTATTCCAGTAGTTCATAAATAGAATTGTGCAAGCATTATCACAATCAAAATATTTCTATTTTCCTAAAAAGTTTCTTCATACCCATTCGCTGTTGTCCCCGTCCTTGGCAACCACTGATCTGTTGTCTGTCTCTATACATTTTTCCACAAAAGTGGAAACGTGAAATATGTAGCCCTTTGCATTTAGCCTTCTTTCACTGAGGTTTATCAGTTTTATGGCATTTATTAGGTCATTAATTTCTATTTCTTAATAAATGCATAAATGTATCACATTTTGCTTATCCATTTACCAGTTGATGGTCATTTAGCTTGTTTTCAGATATTGGCTATTATGAATAATTCTTTTATAAACGTATATATGTGGACATATACTTTCCTTTAAGGGTAGATCTTTAGAAGTGAAATTGCTGGGTCAATGGTAAGTTTATGCTTGATATTTTTAGAAACTGCCACACTGTTTTCTACAGTGACTGTATAAATTTACATGTCATATCAGCAATACGTGAATGTTCCAGTTTTTTCCCCATACTTGTGAATATTTGATGTCTGTTTTTTTGGATTCAAGCTATTGTAGTGGGAATGTAGTGGTATGCCATTGTGGGCTTAATTTGCATCTCTTTAATGAATATTGGTGAACATTTTTCATGAGCCTATTAACTATTTATTTATTTAGAATCAGAGTCTCATTCTGTCACCCAGGCTGAAGTGCAGTAGCACGCTCAAAGTCACTGCAGCCTCAATCTGCTGAGCTCATGTGATCCTTTCGCCTCAGCCTTCCAAGTAGATGGAACTACAGCCACCAAGCCTGGCTAAGTTTTTGATTTATTGTAGAGACGAGGTCTCACCAAGTTGCCCAGGCTGGTCTTGAACTCCTGGGCTCAGGCAATTCTCTCGCCTCAGCCTCCCAAAGTACTGGAATTACAGGCGTGAGCCTCTGAGCCCGGCTCTTATTAGCTATTTGTATACCTTTTTGGTGGAATGTCTAGCCAACTCATTCTTACATTTTAAAATTTAGTTGCTTGTGTCTTTATTTTTGAGTTCTATGAATTCATCATATATTCTGTATACAAGTTGTCTGTAAGATATATGATTTTTAATTATTTTCTCCCAATGTACATTTTCATTTTCTCAATGGTGTTTTTTTATAAACAAATATTTTGATTTTGATGGCATGCAGTTTATCAAATTTTCTTTTTATGGATCTTGTTTTTGGTTTTGTGTTTGAGAGTTCTGTTATGGACTACTCTGTCTCCCTTCAGCATTCATGTGTTGAAGTCCTAACCCCTAATGTGACTATTTGGTGATAGGGCCTTAAGGAGGTAATTAAGATTATATGAGGTAATAAGGGTGGGTTCATGCAAAAGAAAAGATCATGTAAGGATACAGCAAGAAGGCAGCGTTAGCCAAGAACAAAGACCTCACCAGAAATTGATCCTGCTGGCACCTTAATCTTGGACTGCTATCCTCCAGAACTGTGAGAAAGTAAATTTTTATTGTTTAAGTCACCTTGTCTGTGGTATTTTGTTCAGGCAGCCTGAGCAGACTAATGCTGATTTTGGTTCTGTGAAGTGAGGCGCTGCTGTAACAAATACCTAAAAATGTGAGCGTGTCTTTGGAACTGAGGGCTAGAGGCTGGAATAGTTTTGGGGTACATGCTACGAAAAAGTCTACATTGCTTTGAAAGGACTGTTGCTAGAAACATGGATGCTAAAGGCAGTTCTGGTTAGGGCTCAGAAAAAAAAGAGAAGTGTTTTGGAGACACTTCTGTAGTTTTAGAGAGTACATATCTCATTATAATCAGAACAGAACCGGAGAAATATGAACACTAAAGGGCTTCTGGTGAAAATGAGAAACATGTTGGAAAATGGAGAGAATGTGATCCTTGTTAAAAATGACAAAGAACTTGACTGAATTGTGTTCTAGTGTTTTGTGGAAGGTGGAACTTTTGGGGGACAACCTTGATATTTAGCAGAGATTTCTTAGCAAAATGTTGAAGATGTAGCCTGTTTCCCCATCACTACTGATGTAGTAAAATGCAAAAGGAAAGATATAAGTTGAAGGAATTATTAAGCAAAAGGGCACAAGAACTTGAAGATCTGGGAGATTCTTAGCCTATCCATCTTTTAAAACATGAGAAATCATGTTCTGGAGAGAAAACCCTAGTCGTAACTGAACAGTCACACTGTAAAGAGATTGCCCACGACATGACCAACCATATCAGCTGAAGCCAGGAATAGTGATGGGATTATACCATTGGAAACACTACCAGCTGGGGCTCAAGGAGAAAACAGGGCAGAATGAAGGAAAGATATTGGATTTCTGGAATTTTACGTAACAGGACAGTAGAACTATCTGGCTTCAAACCATGCATCATCCTTCAAGAAAAGAGAAGAATGACCCTAAAAACAATTCAGAGATCATCAGGGCTGTCACTCTTACCAGGCCCAGGGGGAAAGGCTATTTCTTCTTGGTTTCAGAGAGTAGGACCACCTCTTTGGTTTCAGTGGGCTAGGATACCACTGTCCTATACCACAGGGACAGGAGTATTACCCAAAACTGTGAGGGCAGGGCCACTCCACAGAACTGAGGGGACAGAGACACTGTCTTTGACCATTATGGGAGTGTTGCTGCTGCCCCGATGGGTACAGCAGGGTAGAGCATCCAGCCAAAGAGGATTTTTCTTGAGCTTAAAAGATCTAATGGAATTTACCTTGCTGGGTGATATTTAGATAAGACTTTGGACTTGTAGTTGATGTTAGAATGTTTTAAGACTTCAGAATTTCAGGGATGGGGTGAACATGTTTTCTATGAAACAAGGAAATGAATTTTGGGGAGACCACAAAGCAGAATGCTATGAATTGAACTGCATTCCCTCAGATTCATAGGTTGAAGCCCTAATCCCCAATTTGACTGTATTTGGAGATAGGGCCTTTAAGGAAATAATTAGGGTTAAATCAGATCTTAGAGGTGGGACTTTAATCTGACTGGACTGGTGTACTTATAAGAAGAGGGAGAGACAGGAGAGATCATTCTCTCTCCATGAATATACAATGAGAAAGCAGCTGTTTTGATTACTGTACTTTTTTGGGTAAGTTTTGAAATTGGGTAGTGTAAATCCTTCAGATTTTTTCATCTTTTTCAAAATGGTTTGAACTATTCTAGACTCTTTGTAGTTCCATACATATTTTTAGATTAACTTGGTACTTGTCAATTTTTACAAAAAGACTGCCTGGATTTTGATAGAGATTACATTTAATTTATAGATTAATTTGAGGAGAATTACTCTTTGGACAATATAGAGTGCTCTAATCTATTAAAATGTATTTTATCTTCATTTATTTTGACTTTTAATTTCTCTCATAAATGTTTGGTAATTTTAATTTACCAAAGTCAAAATTTTCACCTTCTTTGGTAAATTGTATCCCCAAGTATTTTATTATTTTTATGTTATTGTGAATTAAAATTATTTGTTAATTTTATTTTTTTACATTGTTTGTTGCCAGTATACAGAAATACACATACAAATTGATTTTTGTGCATTAATTTTGTATCTTGTCACTTTGCCTAATTTATTAGTTTTTTGGGGGGTGTGGATTCTTTGGGAGTTTCTACAAAAGGATCATGCCATCTGCAAATAAAGATGCTTTGTTCTTCCTTTTTTATCTAGATGTCTTTAGTTTCTTATTTTTGCCCATTGCAATTACTAAATGTTGAATAGTAATAGTAAGTGTGGACATTTCTGCCTTGTATGTGTCTTGGGGGAAAGCACTCTGTTTTTCAGTGTTAAGTTGGATGTTAACAGTGGAGTTTCTTTAGAGACCTTTATCAAGTTGAAGAAGTTCCTGTCTATTCTACATTTGTTGAGTATTATTGTAATGTTTACTGGGTTTTGTCAAATGCTTTTTCTGCATCTACTGTGATGATCATGTGTTTTTTGTCCTTTAGTTCCATTAATGTGGTGTGTTATATGAATTGATTCTTGAATGCTAAACCATTCTTACCTTTCTTGGATAAATCTCACTTGATTATGATGTATAATTCTTTTTATATGTCACTGGACTTAGTCTGCTGATATTTCATTAAGGAGTTTTTGTTTAAGAGGGATATTGGTCTATAGTTTTTGTTTTTATAATATCTGGATTGTGTTATTATACAATTGGATAACTAGCATAATTCTGGCCTCATAGAATGCATTGGGAAGTGTTTCTTTTCTATTTTTAGAAAGAATTGTGAAGGATTGATATTATTTCTTTAAACATTTGATCACATTCACCATTGAGTACAACAGTACCTGGGCCCTTTTTATGGGAATATTTATAATTATTAGCATAATCTTTAATTGTTATAGGTCTATTCAGATTTTCTGTTTCTTCTCAAGTTAGCTTTGACAATTTGTGTCTTTCTAGGAATTTGCTCATTTTATCTAAATTATCTGATATGTTGACATAAAATTATACATAATATTTTCTTAAATACTATAAATTTCTAAAGAGCAATTTGGGTCTTTTATGTTATTTTTCTTGGTCAATCTAGTTAGGAATTTGTGAATTTTGTTGATCTTATCAAGGAATAATATTAGTTCACTGACCTTCTTTGTTGTTTTTCTGTTTTCTATTTAATTGATTTCTGCACTAATTTTTTATTTTTTTCTGCTTGTTTTCGGTTTTGTTTGTTATTTTTTGTTATAATATCTTAAGGTGAAAATTTAAGAAATTGATTTTAGACCTTTCTGATATAGGTACTTAAAACTATACATTTCTGCATTACATAAATTATGCTCTGGTGTGTTTTTGTTTTAATTCAGTTAAAATATTCTCTAATTTTTTTGTCTTTTTTGATCCATGAGTTATTTAGAAATGTGTTATTTAATTTTCAAATATTTGAGGATTTCCTAGTTTTTTTTTTCTCTTTTGATTCTAACTTATTTCTGGTTTTTCTTTTTTTAAATAAACTTTTCAAATTTTGGAATAATTTTAAATTTATGGAATAATTGCAAAGACAGTGCAGAGAGTTTCCATATAGTCTTTAGCCAATTTCCTCTAATGTTAAATTTAGATAACCCTGTTGTTACTTTACATTTATCAAATATGAAAAATTAATATTGATACATTACTAATAAGTAAATTACTTTATTTGAGTTTCTGTATTTCACCAGTTTTTCCTCTAATATCCTTTTTTTGTTCCAGGATCGAATCTAGGCTACTACATTTCATGTCTCCCCTGTCTCCTTTGCTCTGTTTCTTATTCTTTCCTTGTTTTTCTTGATCTTGACAGTTTAAAAAATTTTTTTTAATTTTAAAGGTGTGGGGTACAACTCAGGTCTACATATACAAATGTTCATTGTGTAGGTACCCTTGTTGATGAGGTGTTACCTCCCCCATCCTCTGGCAGTTTCCCACTACTGCCAATCCTTTTCTTATAGTATTATGAAAAATGTTGACCTTGACAGTTTTGAAGAATGTTGGTCAGGTATTTTGTAGAATACTCCCCAAATTGGATTTTTTCTCATATTTTCTCATTATTAGCAAGATTTAGGGAAGATTACTATAGTAATAAATTACTCTTCCCATTACATCATGTCAGGGGATGCATGATATCTAGTTGACTTATCACTAATGGTATTAACCTTGTGGTTTCATTTTTTGACCTGATAGCAACCTGCCTCATTCTTTTTTAATTTGTACAGTATCCTGGTTGCTTCTTATTTTCAGAGGTCCTGGAGTGCTTATCTTTTTTTGTGTTTTGATATTTGTGTCCTTTTTATTTTTATATACTTTAACTAATTAGTTTTTGTTTTCAGTCATGCTCTAACTCTTGCTTTTCACATGATCCTTTTTGCTGGATAAAATCTCATCATTCAGGTTCACTGACATACCATTATTTCAGCTGACTGCCATTCATGTTCTAACTTGAGAATAGTAGTGATAGAGTCAAAGACAATACCATTTTTTGTTCAGTAATCTGTTTAAAAATATAGGGAACAGGTAGTACATCTTAGGAGGTTTTTTAAGATAATAGTTAAATAATTTTTGTGCTTGATAGAGTAAGCTCCTCTGATGTAGAATATCCTATTTTCTAAATGATGCCACCTAAGTGATGCGTGGTATATTCTTTTACCAAAATTTACAATTCAGTTACATGTAGATTTCTAATCCTATGTAAATCCTCAGACTGCACTTATTTTTGTGGAAACAGTAAGAATAGATTATAAAATAAATAAATGTTAATTTTTGCTGTTTTGTTGTAGGTTTCAAAAGTAGTCTAAATAATAGTCTGAGATATTTAATTAAGACATCTTAATAAAGACATTCTAGGCATTGTTTGGAAGGAATAATTGATATGAAATTGTTGTTTTACTTATATTACATTTATCTTTACTCTCATTTGTTCTGGATTCTCTAGGAACAGATATCCTACATTATTCCAATAGATGAGAGACCATATACTGTGCACCTTAAGCAAAGGTACTTTTATTCTTTAATTTTATTTTATCTCTATGGAGCTGTGAACAGATATTCTCCAGTGACTTAACTAAACTTTGGGTTCTAATGACTCAAGCAATCTTTCTTTTTTTTTTTTTTTTTTGAGTTGGAGTCTCACTCTGTCACCCAGGCTGGAGGGCAGTGGCACGCTCCCGGGCACCGTAGCCTCGACCTGCTGGGCTCCGGCGATCCTTCCACCTCAGCCTTCCAGTTGACTGGAACTATAGGCGCGCGCTATCACGCCCGGCTAGTTTTTGATTTATTGTAGAGACGAGGGCTTGCCAAGTTACCCGGGCGGGTCTCAAACCTGTGAGCTCAGGCAATCCACTTGCCTCAGCCTCCCAAAGTGCTGGGATTACAGGCTGAGCCACCAAACCTGGCTTCAAACAATCTTTTATAAATGGAATGGGAAAAATAGGGACTCATCTCCTGAAGACTGATCTATATGATATTAAGTTGGTAGGACCTACAGTACCTATATAATCAGGAAACGATGTCTCAAAAATAAGTAAATCGGTAACTGATTGTATCTGTCAGGGTTCAGAAAGGAACCACCATGAGGGATTAGGAATAAAGGATTTTATATAGAAATTAGATCACACATTGTTGGAGGGGATTGGTGAATAGTTTATAGAAAATAGTCCTAGCTGTGTGTCACTCTTCAGAGAATAAAGAAAGTAATTGAAATAATTTCCCATAGGGTCTAATTCTCTGATGAAAACCCAGTTGAGAAAGGCTGACTTGGAAGTAATTTGAGACATTCAGGAAGACAGCTTCAGTTAAATGTTGGTAATAGAACTAGACTATATGATATTCTGGAGTGGTGGATTATGAGAAACTGTAGGTAGCAAGCATAAATAAGTTTTTCAAAACATTGGGCAAAGAAAGAAGAGTTTTAGATGATTTTGAAAAACTATTTTATTTTAGAGGTGTGGAATACAAGTGAGGATTAACTATATAAGTAGGCTGCATGCAGGTGAAATTTGGACTTTCAGTTGACCCTCACTCCCCCTGGTAGTGGACCAGGTATCCTTTATATTGTCATGAGTCCCCCCCACCCGCCCCTGGCCCAGTAGTGCCTAGCACCCACTTATGAGTAATAGCATGCAGTTTTTTGTTGCTGTGATAGATTGCTTAGTTTGATGGTCTCCAACTCTATCCAATTTACTGCGAAGTCCATGATTTTGTTCTTCTTTATGGCTGCATAATTCTCCATCATGCACCACATTCTCTTTACTCAGTCCACTTTATTTATTTATTTATTTATTTGAATTGGAGTCTCATTCGGTCGCCCAGACTGGAGTGCAGTGGCAGCTCCCGGCCACCGCAGCCTTGACCTGCTGGGCTCCGGCGATCCTTCCGCCTCAGCCTTCCGAGTAGCCGGAATTACAGGCATGCGCTACCACGCCCGGCTGATTTTCTGATTTATTGTAGAGATGAGGTCTCGCTGCCCAGGCGGGTCTCGAACCCACGGGCTCAGGCAATTCACTCACCTCAGCCTCCCAAGGCATGGGATTACAGGCTGAGCCACCGAGCCCGGCTCTCAGTCCACTTTAAATGGGCAGTAGGGATGGTCCATGTTTTTGCTATTGTGAATGTGCAACAGTAAACAGGCATATGCAGGTGTCTTTTTGTTAGAACAATTTATGTTCCTCTGGGAATATTCCCGGGAGAGGGATTGCTGGATCATAAGGAAGGTCAAGTTTTAGTTCTTTTAGGAATCGCCACACTGCTTTCCATAAAGGTTGAACTAGCTTTCAATCCTAACAACAGTATAGAAGCATTTCCTTTTCACTGCCCCCACATGAACATCTGCTGTTTTTTGACTTAATGATAGCCATTCTTATCAGAGTTAGGTGGTATCTCATTTTAGTTTTGATTTGCATTTCTCTGATGATTAGTGAGGCTGAGTATTTTTTCATGTGTGTGTTGGCTGCTTGTATGTTGTCTTTTGAGAAATGTCTGTTCATGTCCTTGGCCCACTTTTTAATGGTTTTTTTTTTTTTCCTTTCACTTCAAGTTCCTTGTAGATCCTGGATGTTAGGCCTTTGTCAGATGTATAATAAGTAATTTTGTCCATTCTGTGGACTGTCTCTTTATTCTCTTGATGGCTTCTTTTGCTGTGCAGAAGCTTTTCAGTTTGATGAGGTCCCACTTGCCTATCTTAGCATGTATGGCATTCATATTTGGGGACTTGGTCAAGAATTTTTTGCATACTCTGATATGCACAAGGATGTTTCCTACATTTTCTTCCAGGATTCTTATAGTTTGAGGGTTTATGTTTATGGGCCCAGCACGCTTCCGCTGCGCGAGGGTTTATGTTTAGATCTTTGATCCATTTTGAGTTAAATTTTGTATTTGGTGATAGGTAGGGGTCCAGTTTCATTCTTCTGCATGTGGTCAGCAAGTTTTCCAAGCACCATTTGCTAAATATGGTCTTTTTTCCCAGTGGTTGTTATTGGTAGCTTTGTTGAAGAGAGTTGGTTGAGAAAATGTTTTTGCTTCAGGAATCTCTTTCCTATTCCATTGATCCATGTGCCTGTTCTTGTACCAATACCAGGCTGTTTTAGTTACTTTGACTTTGTAATAAAGTTAAAAGTCTAGAAGTGTGATGCCTCCCACTGTGTTCCATTTGCTGAGGATTGTTTTGGCTATCTGTGCTCTCTTTTTGTTTCCTTATGAATTTCTGTACTGTTGTTTCCTCGTCAGAGAAAAATGATGTTGATAATTTGATGGGTGTTGCACTGAATCTGTAGATTGCCTTGGGTAATTGGATAGACTTCTTAAAGATATAGATTCTTCCAATCCATGAGGAAAGAATGTTCTTCCATTTGTTTGTGTCATCCTGTGTTTCTTTGAGCAGTGTTATATAGTTCTCATTGTAAAGGACTTTCACTTCTCTGATTAGGTATGTGTGTGGCTATTGTGAATGGGGTTGTGCTTTTTATTTGGTTCACTGTATGCTTGTTGCTGGTATAGATATGCACCTGTCTTTTGTATGTTGGTTTTGTACCCCAAGACTTTACCAAAGTTGTTAATCAGTGTGAGGAGGCTTTTATGGACTCCCTTGGGTTTTTGAGGTATGGAATCATATTTCCACAAAGGAGAATAGATTAACTTCCTCTTATCCTATTTGGATACTCCTAATTTTCTCCTCTTGCCTGATTGTTCTGGCTAGGACTTCCAGGATTATGTTGAACAAAAGAGGTGAGAGTAGGCATCCTTGCCTTGTTCCCATCCTTGGGGGGAATGCTTCCAACATTTGCCCATTGAGCAAAATGTTGACTGTGGGTTTATCATAGATGTTTCTTACTGTTTTGGGCAATGCTCCTTCTATGCTAGGTGCTCAAGAGTTTTTATCAAGAAGGGATGCTGGATTTTTTAAATACTTTTTCTGTGTCCAATGAGATAATAATGTGATTTTTGGTTTTATGTCTGTTAATGTATTGAATTATATTGATAGTCTTGCAAATGTTGAACCAGGCTTGCATCCCAGTAATGAAGCCCACTTGGTCATGGTAAATGATAATTGAGATTTGTTGTTGGATCCGATTTGCTAGAGCTTTTTGCATCTATGTCCATTAAGGAGATTGGCCTGTAATTATCTTTCTTTGTTGGGTCTTTGCCAGGTTTGGGTATTAATATGATGTTGGCTTCATAAAATAAACTAGGAAGAATTCTATTGTCCTCAGTTGTCTGGAATACTTTCAGTAAGATTGGTATCAGCTTGTATGTCTTGTAGAGTTCAGCTGGGAAGCCATTTTGTCCAGAGCTTTTTTTTGGTGGGGAGGTTTCTTATGACTGAGTTGATTTCCTGGGTTGTTATTGCTCTGTTTAGTTTCAGTTTCTTCTTGATTCAACTTTGGGAGGTTGTGTGATGCCAGAAAGTGCTCCATTTCTTTTAGTTTTTCTAGTTTATTTGCATACAGGTTTTTATAGTAATCTCTGATAATCTTTTGAATTTCTTCACGGTCAGTTGTGACTTCTTTTGTTTTCTAATTGTGTTTATCTAGGTTTTTTTTTTTCTCTCTCTCTTTTAAAGTCAAACTGGCTAGGGGTCCATCAATCTTATATGTCCTTTTAGCGAACCAGAACCAGCTTCTTGTCTTGTTGATCCTTTCTATAATTTTTTTCTTCTATCTCCTACAGAGATTTTATCTTGGTGATCTGGATTCTTCTGCTATAGTTAGGATTTTGGTGTTCTTTCCTTTTCAACTCCCTTAGATCTGACATTAGGCTGTTTACTTGTGATCTTTCTGTTTTTTTGATGTGTGCATTCAATGTTGTGAATTTTCCTCTTGACACTGCTTTTATGGCATCCCAGAGATTCTAATAAGATATATCTTTGTTTTTGTTTGTTTCCAGGAATGTTTGTTTCCAGGAATGTTTCTGTCTTGATTTCTGTGGTGACCCAGAAGTCTTTCAGCAGCAGGTTGTTTAGTGTCTATGTCTTTGCCTGTTTTGGGGGCACATTGTTGGTAGCGATATTTATTTTTATTTCACTGTGATCTGAGAAGATGCATGGTATTATTTTGATCTTTCGAAATTTGCTCATGGTTGATTTATGTTCCGAGAATGTGATTCATCATGGAGTATGTTCCATGTGCAGATGAGTAGAATGTATACTCTGTAGTTGTTGGGTGAAGTGTTCTGTAGATATAATTAAGTCCATTTGACTGAGCCTTGAGGTTCTCAATCTTCTTGTTGGCTTTGTGCCTTGATAGTCTATCTAAAGCTGTTAGTGGGGTTTTTAGGTATACAACTATGATTGTGTGAGAGTCAGTGTCCTCTGTTAGGTTACTTAGTAGTTGTTTCATAAAACCTGCTGCTATGTATTCGGTGCATATATGTTATATTTCTTGCTGGTGGATTGAGCTTTTTATCATTATGTAGTGTCCTTCTGTGTTCTTTTTTAACTTTTGATGACCTGAAGACTGCTTTGTCAGATATCAATATCAGGATAACTATACCTGACTTCTTCTGTTTTCTGTTCACCTGAAAGATCATTTTTCAGCCTCCAACTTTGAGTCTGTGAGTTTAGTTTCCTGGAGGCAGCAGATGTTGGATCATGCTTTTCTTATCCAGTTTGCCACTCTGTGTCTCTTCAATGGCATATTTTGTCTATTCACATTTAGTTGATTATTGAAATGTGAGAGTTTTCCTTGACATAGAGCTCTTATGGTGTTGTTTACTTTTACCTTCTGTATTTACTTATGTGTTTGTTTTAATTTTTGTGGTGCTTTTTATGCTTTCTGTGTTTGTCTGTACTTTTGTGATGTGCATGGCTGTGTTTTTTCTTTTTTTTCCTGTGTTCAATACCTTCTTAACTGTTTCCTGGAATGTGGTCTAGAGATGGCATATTCTTTTAGGAATATGTCTGGGAACAATTTTAACTCTCCATCACTGATGAAGTTTATATTGGCTGGGTAGGAAATTCTTGGTTAGAATTGCTTATCTATAAGAATGTTAAAAGTTGGACTCCAGTTCCTTCTGGCTTGTAATATTTCTGCCATCTGACCCTTTCCTCTAGATGAATTTTTTTTTTAAAAGAAAAACATGAAGTTTTTTTAGCTGAGAAGTTTTTTAAAGAAAGAAAAAGAGAGATGAAATGTGTAAACAAATAATTCAGTGCATAAGATAACAAAGAATTCTCTCAAAAAAAGGGTTACTCTTTCAGACAGAAGAAAAAAAGAATATAGTGGATGATAAACCAGATAACTTTTGGAGAGTATAAGAGGAAAAGTAAGAGAACTCACATTGCATTTGAGCATCTTATTAGGACTATTAATATTGAGAAGAAATGTAGGGATTGAAGCTTGGGAGATGGATGAGGCATATTTATATTATTTTGGGAAATTACTTGCAAAATAATTATGAAAGTCTAATGACCATTAGGAAGCTATGGAAATAGCTTACATGAGAAACAATAGGAAACAGTACAATGTCCATGTAGAGGTAAAGAGTTTTTTGTTTGTGTGTTTAATTTTGAGAAATGCTGAGGTGCCAGAAAAAAAAATATTTTGTAACAAATTGAATAAAGTGGAGGCAAGGATTTGGTGGGATAAAGGGAAAAAGAACAGAGCTGAGTCAGGGGAAATATAGACTCACTGTTGAAGATGCTGGACATGAAGTGATTGTGGGACATTGCTGGGGAAAATGTCCAGTTAGCATTTAATTTAGTTCAGAACATGGAAGAAAAGTGTGGGTTTCAGCATTCTTACATGATAAAAGTTTAGATATTTTCTTGCAGATTTTAACTCACATGTAGTGATTTACCTCAACATGATAAAGATTACATAGGACAGACCCACAGCTATCATCATACTTATTGGTAAAAAGCTGAAAGCTTTTCATCTAATATTAGGAACAAGACAAGGATGCCCACTCTTACCACTTTTATTCAGCATAGTATTGGAATTTTTAGCTAGAGCAATTAAGAAAGAAATAAAAAGCATCATAATTGGAAAGAAAGAAGTTAAATTGTTCCTGTTTGCAGATGACATAATCTTATATATAGATATGGATATATGGTTATATAGAGAACCCTAAAGATTCCATCAAAAATTGTTAGAACCTATAACTGAATTCAGTAAAGTTGTGGGATATAACATCAACATACAAAAATCAGTAGTATTTCTGTACATCAGTATACATTAATAAAAAACTATGCAAAAAGGAAATCAAGAAAATAATCCCACTTACAATAGCTACAAAAAATAAAATATTTAGGAATACACAAGCAAGGAGGCGAAAGACCTGCACACTGAAAGTTATAAAACACTAATGAAAGAAATTGAGGAAGACACAAATAAATTGAAAGATATTCTATGTTCATTGACTTAAAGATTAATATCATTAATATGTTCATTCTATCCAAAGGGAGCTACAAATTCAATGCAATATCTATCAGAATTACAATGACATTTTTCACAGAAATAGAAAATACTGTCCTAAAATTCCTTTGGCACTACAAAAGACTCTGAATAGCCAAAGTAATCTTGACCCAAAAGAAGGAAGCTGGAGTCATCTTACCTGATTTCAAAATATGCTGCAAAGCTATAGTAATCAAAGCCATGTTTTCATATAAGTAGTAAATGAAGCTTCAGAAATGGACAAGATCGATTTATAGAGGTGAGGATGAATGTTAAAGGTGAGAAGGAAAGACAGTCTAGGATTGACAGCCATTGAAACGTTTAAGGGATGAAGGGAGGATCCAAACAGAGGGACTTATAAAAGTAGACATGAGGGCAACCAGGGGGAAGTGGTATCATTAACAATGAGGAAGAGATGATGAAGAAGGGAAATGTGATCAACAGCATGAAATGCTGCAGAGTATTTTACTTGATTTCAAGTTCACTTTTGGATTTGACAATTAGGAGTTCATTAGTAGCTTTTGTGAGATCAGTTTGAGTGAAGGCTTCTCAACAGAAGCAAGTCCATGTAGTCTAGTCTAGTTAAGTTACATTGAGTTGAAGAGGGAGCATGAGTAAGAAAGCATAACTAAAATAGCATAAGCACAGGAAATGACATCAAAGTAGAACTTAGGCTTGAAGTTTCAGTACATATGTTCAGATGAATGTGACTTTTACACAGCGCTCTTCCACTTTATTATAAAAGTAATACATATGGATAGTAGTAAAACTTAGAAAGAATGAAAGCACTAAGGAAGTAAACTTTCATAATCCTACGTCCAGTTCATATCTTTTAAATTTTAAAATGCGTTTCCCTCTTCTTGCAGTCCTTTCTCATTTTCTTTAAAGGAATCCATTAAGTAAGGAAAATTATTTTGAGTAATACCCATTGCTTTGAATAAAAATTAAATATATGTCAAAATACAACACTACCTTTATGTTAGAGGCTGACAAACTTTTTCTCTAAAGGTCAGGATAGTAAATATTTTAGACCTGAGCACCATATGTTCTTTATCAAAACTGCTTAACCTCTGCTCTTGTAGGAAGCAACCATGACAATATGTTAGTGAATGGGTGTGGTTGTGTTCCAATGAAATGTTATTTACAAAACAAAGGTTGAGTCAGATTTTGGCTGAGGGTGCCAGTTTACTGACTGCTGCTTTATGTGTTTTAAACAGAATAATTAAAAATTTTTCCTTTTTTATATTTAGATATCTTTTAGCAGATAATTTTATGGTTTATTTGTATGATCAAGGATCTGTGAATTCTCATACTTCAAATGTTGAGGTAAGAATTTAAGTTCTATGTTTTATAGGTATTTTTTAAATAACCTTTTTACATTAAGTAAATACTTTCTTAATAAAGAAAGCTCTCAGGATTCACGGGGGATATACTTAAGACATTTATTTATTAATGATTAGGCTTTCCTGAAGTCTTGGTAAACTAAAGACAAATTAGATTGACTTAGCACCTTTCACATTGCACAAAAAAATGAATACTATTCATTTACTTTTTGTATTTTGTTGAATGAGTGAATATAAGTTAAGGAACACTATTGGACACAAATCACAGATCAAAAATCTTTCTTTTCTTTTTTTTTTTAACTCACCTATTTCTTCTATCAATAACTCTTACTCATCTTGTGTCCTTCAAACTGTATATCCACATTCTACCCCTTCCCTGCCTTTATCTACTGATACTGCCCATTTCTAAGTAAACATCATGTCTAGTTTGGATTATTGCCATAACTTCCTGAAAAGACCTCCCTGCTTACACTGCTTGCCCATCCCTTGTCAATTCTCAACATGGCAACCAGATTGATCTTGTTAAAACCTAGTCCGATTGTATTGCTTCTCTGTTCAGAGTTTTCCAGGGAGCGGTCCCCATTTCATTTCATTTCAGTGTCTCCCATGCCTCACACAGTTTGGTTTCCTTTGACCTCTCTGACCTTGTTTTCTTTTACTCTTTACTTGGTTGACTTTGTTCCAGCCACACTGGTCTCCTTGCTGTTCTTCAAACATGCCAACTATGTTTTTCCTTTCAAATATTTGTACTTTCTATTTCCTGGGATCCAAATGCTTGTTCTTTCCCAGGAAACACACATGTCTTTTTCCCTTGTTTCCTTCAGGTCTTTACCCAAGATCACTCTAGTAGTTCTTGACTAACTTTCTTCCCTTGATACTCTTTGTATTTTCTTAACCTGTTTTACTTTTTCCATGGTAGTTATCAATGATATATCATATATTCTACCTACCTATTTGGTTTATTTTCTGTCTTCCAGTGCAATATAATATTCCCAAGGGTGGAACTTTTGGTCTGTTTTATTCACTGATGTCACTTCAATGCCTAGAAACTGACACAAACTTGGTATATAGTGAAAACCTGTTGAAATATTAAATTGGACACCATGCCGCTTTACTTATACAGGATGGGACCATCCTTTCTCTTTATTGCTCATTCTTCCTTCCCTTCGTCCCATAATAAAGTAGTGTGTTAATAAGAAGTGTTACATTTATTAATACCAAAATTTATAACACCATCGAATCTTGGAAATTATGTAATCTTTCTTTTTGTGACAATGTTTGCTATTTTCTATATTCCTAGTTTGATTGTAACCATGCTTAAAGACCAAACTACAATTTCAGTCCTTTGAAACCTGTTGAGTGCTGTTACGGCCCAGAATATGGTTTCCCTTATGTAAATATGTGTTTAGGAAGTGTTTTTACATATAGTATTCTCTCTATATCTTAATCAGGTTGTTTGCTACACATGTTGTTCAAATTTTTGGTAGATTTTGAATGCTTGGCTTATCAGTTACTGAAAAAAATTAGGTTCAAAAATCTTTTTTATAATTATACATTTAAAAAATTTTTACTGTTCTTTCAATTTTGGCTTAAGATATTATGAAGTTGTATTATTAAGTGAATACCAATTTGGAATATTTTTATCTTCCTGGTGAATTGAAACTCTTCTCATAATAAAATGTCTCTCTTTATCTCTAGCAATGCTTCTTGCCTTAAAGCCTACATTTCTTGTATTAGTAGTTTCAGAACATCCTTTTCATTTGTGTTGACACGTAGCCTTTTAATTTTCCATTGTCATTATGTTTTATGTTTCTTTTTTAGCAGCATATTAGATTTTTAAAGAAATACAGATTCATAATCTTTGCCTTTTAATTGATGACCTAAATTTAAATATCAGAAAATAATTTTACTTTAAAACATGAGATAACATTTAGAAGCAGAGTGTAGAATAGCAATTTCAAGTCATACTCTATAAAGAGTAGTTGATATAGTGAAAGTGGATATAGTGAAAGTGGAATATGTGAGGAGACTTTTTCTGAATGTCACTTTACTCATACTGATATAAACTATATAGCTTGTGAAAAATAGCCATAGGGGTCTATCAAGCATGGAAATAGGAAGTTATTTGATAGTTTTGTCAATTCCTAGGTAATCACTTTACTTTTTCTCTTTCCTAGACTCACTGCTACTATCAAGGAAATATTGAAGGATATCCGAATTCTGTTGTCACACTCAACACATGCTTTGGACTGAGGTTATTTTCTATAGTTGATTACAGAACACCATAGTTATATTTGGCTGCAGTTAATTTGTTCTGTTTATATTAAGTGTAGAGCTGGAGGAGGAGTCCTGTGTGAAGATTATATCCTCCTTTGAACATGTTTTCAATTCTCTTATTTCTCCTTACTTTACTTACTGACCAGAGACATTTCTAACCCCAATTCCTACTGAAGGTTTAGAGTTTCTGATCTCCTTGCTCTAGCTCTTATCTTTCTTAACTACAAAAATGACAATTGTACATGCTTGACCACAAAAGTTGGAGGAGTTAAGTTTAGGATAACTAAGTCACAGGCTAGAAAATCAGGGGAATTACTTAACACTGTAATGCTGTATGCTTGTACACCTAGCAGTTGATTAGGCAATTTCTGTTGCTTTTACAACTAAAAACGAATGAAATGGAAAGTTAGTTTTGTGGATTAGGGAAGTCTTTTGTCTCTTCAGAGTCATCTCTGAGACAGAGCTTGGATTAAAACACTGGACTAAAAATGTGTTTATGAAGCCCATCATAAACCACATGTGTTCTAGTACTTGGAGATATAAAGATAAATAAAGGTAATATAAGATGCTTTTTCTCAAGAAAATCATCTTCAGCGTGAGGAGGCAAATTATATATAAACAAATAATTTTAAATATAATACTTGTATTTTTCTGATGATATCCTGACCTTGAACTTTTCAGGAATTATTGAGTTTTCTTCTTAGTACTTAGAGAGTTTTTCATTATGTCAGAAAATTCTTCACCTTCATTTTGTAGTGCAAGATTTTTGTTTTCTTTTCTTTACTTTTTTTTTTTGAGTTGGAGTCTCACTCTGTCGCCCAGACTGGAGTGCAGTGGCCACTTCCGGCCACCACAGCGTTGCCTGCTGGGTTCCGGCGATCCTTCCGCCTCAGCCTTCCGAGTAGCCAGAATTACAGGCATGCACTACCATGCCCGGCTGATTTTTTGTAGAGATGAGGTCTCGCCGCCCAGGTGGGTCTTGAACCCGCGGGCTCAGGCAATCCACTCACCTCAGCCTCCCAAAGGCGCGGGATTACAGGCTGAGCCACCGAGCCTGGCTAGGATTTTTGTTTTCACAAGTGCTTCTTACACAGAACCTTGAAATTTGAATCTGAAATTTTCTTTTTAGGGAGTAATGACATGAGCTGCTACCTGTGTTCAAGGAAGAATAGTTATACAAATTGTTTACTCTTTAAAATCTTGCTTTTAATTTCTTATTTGGACTTGGTGTGTATGTGTGTAAAATTAACAAGTGTCATTTCATAGTTCTACTAATATATGTAAGAAAAATTGCTCATTATATATATATTTGCTTATATAAGCAGTATAATCATTTTTCAAAAGCATTGCAGAGAGAAATTCACCAAGATTTCTGTTTAAAATTGCTTTAATTAAGTCACTGACTTGAAAAATGGGATGATTACTTAATTACTGTGATACTGTGTATTTGTACATCTAGAACTCAATTGGGTAATTTCTGCTACTTTTATAACTATAAAAATGAAATGAAAAGTTGCTTTTGTGGATTAGGAAAATCTTTGTCTCTTCAGAGTCATCTGTAAGACAGAGTTTGGATCAAAATACTGGATTCAAAATGTTTTATATCTTTATTATTTTTTCTTTTTATTTTATCAGTTTCACAAAATAAATTTGATTAAAAGCAATTGCATTTTTATTCTTAATTTTACAGAGGACTACTGCAATTTGAAAATGTTTCTTATGGAATCGAGCCCTTAGAATCTTCAGTTGAATTTCAGCATCTTCTCTATAAATTTGGGAATGAAAACAATGAATTTTCAATTCTTAACAAATATAGCAGAAGCATAGAGGAACACCCAATGGACAATAGCATTTTTATAGGTGAAAAAGTGAGTTGTGTATGTTTTATTACTACTTTTAGTTACGTCTTCTATTTAATTTATTGTATTATTGTACAACTGTAACAAATATCCCTTTCTTGTGAAAATGCTCATCTTTTCTTAACCTAACAATTCCCTGAAACCATAGATTACCTTTTCTCTTTGCACCAATTTATCACTTACTGTTTACGATGACTCACTTTATTTTTTTTTGCACTCTTATCATTTGTAAATTTATATACAGTATTTTTAAAGTTTAAAACTCACTTTTTGCTTTGGTTTCTGTATTCCTGGAAGTTATTCAATAAAGTAAATATTAATAAAAGCTGTGTTTATGGCCAAGGAGTCAGCATAATTAAACTATGGGTATAATTAAATTGTCTTAAGCAGGATTGCTAGGTGTGACCATGTAAATTGTTTAGTGAACGCTTGTGTAACTGCATGTGTTGGTTCTCATAAAAGCAACTGTGAAGGAGCATTTTTATGCCAAGTAACATTGACACTGGGCAACTTGGCGAGACCTCATCTCTACAATAAATCAAAAAATCAACCGGGCGTGGTACCGCATGCCTGTAATTCCGAAGTAGGCTGAGGCAGAAGGATCGCTGGAGCCCAGCAGGTTGAGGCTGCGGTGGCCGGGAGCGGCCACTGCACTCCAGTCTGGGCGACAGAGTGAGATTCCAACTCAAAAAAAAAAAAAAAATGCACAATGTATGTGGCAGTGTTAGCTGTTCCCAGCACATGTTATCTCCATCTTCTGTCACATAAGAAAAAGCCAAAACCTCAGTGTTTAGTTGGGGATACAAAATTAAAACTATATTTCTCAACCTCCCTTTGCATCTAGGTAGAGCCGCCATGTGGCAAAATTATGGCTAATGACATGTGAGCAGGTGTAATATGGTATTATGTGTTACTGTTGCAGGAGTTTTTAATTCCACTGCTGGCTTAGACCAGCAACCTCGGGTTTTTGTCCCATGATCAAGAAGATTAAGGAATGTGGACACCCAAAGGCTGAGTGAAAGAAGCAGCTTATTAAGTAACGAAGCTCTCCAGAAAAAGAGAGGGGACCCGAAATGGGTTACCCACAGTGGGGTGTTTCGGGTTTTTGTCTTCCCTTTTAGGGGTGTTCTTCTCCTTTGCATCTTATTCGCCTCCTACCCTCTTAGCTCTTTCCTGGTCCCAGCCTTCACTACACATGTTTGCCCTTGTCTAAAGTTACTCCATCTTGATTATTACCCATAAGTACCATAGAAAAGCCCACTCAGGGGGTAAAACCTCAATGTTAATATAATGCTAATGATTTTTTTTTTTTTTTGAGTTAAAGTCTTACTCTGTTGCCCAGGCTGGAGTGCAGTGGCATGCTCCCAGCCACCCCAGTGTCGACCTGCTGGATTCCCGTCATTCTTCTGCCTCAGCCTTCCAAGTAGGCAAAATAACAGGCGTGTGCTACTACGCCTGGCTAGTTTTCTTTTTTGTCTGTTTATTGTAGCGATGAAGACTCGCCAAGTTGCCTGGGCTGGTCTTGAACCCGCAGGCTCTGGCAATCCACTTGCCTCGGCCTCCCAAAGTGCTGGGATCACCAGCTGACCCACTGAGCCTGGCCCACTAATGATATAATAAGCTTAGGTTGAATTAGGACACTTAGTTAAGTTATTGTGTCTGCGTTCAAATGGCAAAAAGTCCCTTTGAAAAAAACATCCTGGCTCAAGAGGATGCTTTAAACCACATTAACCACATTTTTCATTGTTATGTATAATGGGGGCAGTGCAGGGACATTTCCATAGGTGTTACTTTTCCTCGAGACCCTCCCTGTGTGTCTGCCTAGCCGGCATCTGACTACCTCCTCTCTCATTTCCCACCTCTGGAGTAGTATGCCTAACTGTTGTTAGGGGAAAGGGGAGATGACTGCTCTGACTTTTTAAAGCTATTAGGGAGTGTTGTTTATGTGGTAGTTAGTCTTTTAAATAATTTTTTAATTTTAAAGATGTGGGGTACAATTCAGGGTTAGGTATGCAAGTGTTCATTATGCAGGTACCCTTGTTGATGAGATGTGCCCCCTCTTCCCCGCAGTTTTCCACTACTGCCAATCCTCCTCCCTGCCTCCCCTGGCAATTTCCCACTGCTGCCAATCCCTTTCTTATAGTATTATAATAATTGTTCAAGGTCCGCTTATGAGTGAGGACATATGGTACTCTGTTCTTTGTTTCTGTGATAGATTACTGAGAATGATAGACTCTAAGTCCATTCAAGTTGCTGCAGTTAATCTTTCAAAAGATTGCCTAATGGGCCATGGAAGAAAGGTTTTATCATGTGAGGCTCCATCTGTATCACCATTTGAAGTTTGATGGACTCTAGGCGATAAGAAACAAATTTTACAAGAAGGTTTATTATGTATGGCCCAAATATGAGCAATACAAGAAAAGGAGCTATTAAGGGGACCATCCATGTCCACTTATTAGGGATCTCTAGAGAGGATAGAACGGATTGTAGCCAACTGGGTCCTGAGCCTGTCTGTTCCCTTAAAGAATCAATGATTTTAATATTATTTTTTTAATGACCTGTAGGTGTTCTTCTACCTGGGAGGAAGTATTAATCCAGAAGCAACATGTTTTATTTAATAACGTACATGTTTCTTTACATTTTGTTGTGAGCATATCCAGCGCTTGACAGTTTGGCAAGACCACAGTAGCTAATGAATTGATGGATGTTTGTTGATTTTTAATAGCAGCTACTGTGGCTTATCCTTGTTGTACCAAGTGGGTGAGATTTAATATGGATTTTTTAAAGATAGGTATTCCAGTAAACTAAAATAAACTTATAATGCATGCTTGTAAGACAGATAACTGTTTAAGGAAGACGACAACCCCATGGGTATTTAGAATCAAAGCGCCCTTCACAACAACACTTAGCAATACAGATTAAGATATACATTAAAATAGTGAGCAAAGGTAATAATATAATGAAAATATATTTTATTTCTGAATTGGATGATGCGAGGTCCATACTTAAGCAATGTTTGACCTCTTTTAGAGGCTCTATTAGAAATTGAACTCCATGGGTAGTTAAAGTCTCCCTGCAGATATGTGTCAAAAAGGAGTTGTAATATTTTTTGTTTGAACGAATCTGGAGGGCAAGAGACTTGGATTGGGAAAATAGGGAGATGTCACGAAAGATTAATTATGGGCATTTATCTTTTGTGATCTTTAGTTTGAGAATCCCAATTTTTTTACATTGGTAATTGGAAGATCCCTCTGGGTTGATGGAGGAGACTTTTTTAGGATTCTAGAGTTTCACCTTTGTGTGATGAATCCAAGAGTTTATTCTGGCAAACTTTACCATTGATGGGGTAGAGAGAACAGTGTAGGGTCTCTCTCAATTTGGGCCTAAAGTAGGGGAGAGAGGGAAGAGCCCTTACCAGTAACAAGTCTCCAGGGTTTCATGTACTATTTTACAACATACATATACCCTTTTTTGACACGTGTGAACCCTCTATTTTTTTGTCCTTGGGGGGTAGCTATACTGAAACTATATCTGACATCTGGTTCTTACTTCAGGGCCATAACACTTAGAACCGCCCACTCGTTCCTCTTAAATAAGACATCACGATGGTAACGGGCCATTCACCCTCTTTTCCAGTCACGGGAGAATTAAGTGCCTTTGGTATTTTTTAATTTTTAAGGGGGGGGTGTCTTGACTCAGCAAGGCCAGGAGGCCTGGATGTAGACAATTGAATTGTAGACATGCCCAAATTGCGTATTGTATTTCCTCATTGCATATTCATGAGCTGCTATTTAATTCATGCTCGACGGACATAACATATTTACGCACACCACTACACCCAAATACGCGTACGTACACGTACACGTACACGTACACGTACACGTACACGTACACGTACACGTACACGTACACGTACACGTACACGTACACGTACACGTACACGTACACGTACACGTACACGTACACGTACACGTACACGTACGCGCGTTGAATATAATATATATATAGAATTATATACGCTAACCCCCCACCCCCCCGTTACTATATTATTACTAAAGTAAACATATACTCCTGCCAAACCCCAAAAACAAGAGAATTACGCCAGCTCATATAGATAACTCACGCATGCCCCATTATATTCTTCGCTTATGTGTATTTTATTGAATTACAGAGCCATGTCCCTATTGAGGAA